GTTTGCAAATCCAATTGGTGTTCACTTATGTCTTCTCTTGCCTACATTGTTAACTTTTGACAAGAAAAATTGATGTAAGACTGCTTGTGTGAGGTATGACTTAAAGATAAAGGGTGGAATGTATGTAGGTATGGATTTCCATAATCCATGAACAAGCTGTACACAGAACATACCAGCACAGCATACATTCCTGGAAGGGAGGGAAAACTTCTTTGATAAACACTTATTGAGCACATGTTACATTAAAAAAATGTGCTTTTCTTAGTAAGTGAAATGTATATATGGTGAGACAAATATGAAATAGATCATGTCACCAAGAAACTTATAAAAAACTACAAAGTAAAATAGAAAAAGTGAGAAATTAGAAATACAAAGTGATGAGAATTATCAGGCTGAAGAAAGGGTGATTAATTTCTGCTGGTGAATCTATACACTTTCCAGTGAAAAGTTAGTATTTGACCTAAGTCTTAAAATACGAATAGGAGTACCATATCAATAAAGAATATTAAAGGCCATGGAACTAGAGGAGATCATTAGAGAAAAGTGGAGGGAAGAAAAAAGGCCCAAGCATTGAGCACGCTGTACAGTGACGTTAATGGCCTTGAAGATGAGGAAGCACGATGCGTGGAGGTTTCCACCATGTCGAATGCTGCATAGATCCCATAGGACAGACAGTGAAAATGGACTTTGGATTTAGCATTTTGGAGTTACTTAGTGACCTCAAAATAGCTGTTCCAGTGGAGAGTAGAAAGGACTGATTCATTGAAGTGGATTCAAGAGAATAATATAAGGAGAAGAATTAAAAATCAGCACTACAGATTGGAGCTTCTCAAACTTGAATGCCATTATGAATCCCAGAGATCATGCTACAGTATAATTTCTGATTGAACAGGGCCAGAGTGGAATATGAGAGTCTGTGTTTCTGCCAAGCTGCCAGGTGTACTGATGTCAATGGTGGATCACAGCTGGAGTAGCAAAAGAGGAGGATCTTCCAGGAGTTTTCTATAAGAGGGAGCAATGAAATGGGGTGGGTGAGCAAAGTAACTGGAGGAGATATGGGGTCCAGGGAACTATCTGTAGAATTCCCATGATCACAGCAAGTGTGTTTGAATGTCCATGGGAATGATCCAGAGTTGAGAGGAAAACAATCGAAGATGGAAGATACAGGGGATAATTATTTGAAGAATGCCCTTGAGTAGAAGCCAGGAGAAAATGGAGACAAGCACTGAATGAAGGGGAAGCCCTCAACAGTTCAGCGATATTACCAGAAAGAAATGTCAAGCGCCTGAGTATAGACGCAGCGTGGTGGGGGGTGTAGAGGTCCCCGTGCTCAGCTGTTTTTATTTCTCAGTGGGATAAGATACATAGCCGATAGGACTAGGGAAAAGATGTTAGAGGTTTGAGGAAAAAGAGGGCAGTGTGAAATAATCACAAGAAGAATAAATAGGTAGAGTGTAGAGGATTTTTAAGGTGAGAAACTATATTGTATGACACTATAACAGTGGCTATATACCACTGTACATGTGTCCAAACCACAGAATGTAAACCACCAGGAGTGAACTCTGATATAAACTGTGGGCCTTGAGTGATAATGATGCTTCAGGGCAGGTTGATCAGTTTGAATAAATACGCCACCCTGGAGGGGAGTGTTGATCCGGGGGCACGGGGAAGGCTGCGCATGAGTGGAGGCAGAGGGCATACAGGAAATCCCTGTACTCGGGTTTGCTGTGGGCCCACACCTGCTCTAAACTATTGTATAAGTAAAAATGTCATCGTGAGAAAGTATATTGACTAGGGAAGTTTTTCTCAACCCTATCAGACCAATGACCCCTTTTATAACACATATTTCTAACATTTTTGCTACTATTATAAAAATAAAGCAATAATCATTTAACCTACCTACACATATGCTTAAGTCAGTATAATGCCCTCACTATAATATAAAGAAATAAAATAAAAAATAATTCATAATAAAACAACATGTGTTTCCATATGTAATGCTCAAGCCTGGATATTGGGAGATCAAAAACATCTCTCCAAAAATACTTGATGCCCTCTAGGGGGCGATACTACCCTTGATGAGAATCATTGTGACAAAAAACGGCTGGAGACTCCTTTGTTTGAGAAAGTATAAGCCATTCAGTGTCATTAGAAACCATTCAAGTGGCCACATTGAAAGAATATTAAATGTAGAATTTACTTTCTCGGATCACAGCAGCTGTAGGGAAACCATCCCTGATCTTCTGGATTCGGTCCCAGCCTTCTACCATGGGCTCTTACAACACCCAGCACTTACCCTGCCCTGTCCTAACAGCTGCGTTTTGACATTTACAGAGCATGATTATTTGGTTATCTGTATTTAAATATTTGATGTTTTGTCAGTCATAAATTTTTGCTCTAATTTTAATTTTTAATAAGGAATACAATATTAATTTTGAGTAGATTAAATATTATTAATCTGATTTTTGGGGGTGCTCCCTAAATTTCACTGTGGGAAACCAGTGAGTTTCTGCATTCATCCCAGTTCTAGCCTGGCACCTTCAGCCTGCAAACTCCAGGAGGCCTGGGTCTAGGGCCTGGAAGGGTAGCCTGTCTGGGGCAGAGAGTCTGTGTAGAGTGAATTAAAGTATATGTATAGCTTTGGCTTTGAAAGCTTTTAGAGAAATATGTTGTCTGGTAACACTGAAATAAATTGTCAAAATACAATTCTTAAAAACTGACTATGATGTTATTGATAAATGAATTACTATGACTAAAATTCCAGCAATCCAAAAAATCACTCTCTGTGTCCATTTCGGAAGGCAGATTGCTTTTATTTCATGGTTTAAATGGTTCTGTAGATCATTTTGGAGAAATTCAATTTCCTTTGATTTGGGTTTATATGAGAATAGATGAGCTCCTAACTCCTGGTTTACTTCTCCAGGACTGTGAGGAGCAAAACTCAAACTAAGTGGGAGCAGAGTAATTTATGTAAGAGGTGGAATGTAAAATGTAAATTTACATTTTCTAAAGATATTGTCTCCAGTTTCCAGACAGTCACACTAACACAAACCTGGTCACCCAACTGAATCAATAGAGGGGACAGGGATTATGGATTAATTTCTAGATGATTCCCACATTGTCTCACAGGGTAAGTGAGTGATAACAACAGGGTGTGATCTGGGGAGGTACACGAAAGGATTAAATGAAAGAAGTGATCTTTGGCTTCAATTATGTCTCCCTCTCCTCTCTCTATATATAAACTAGATAAATGTGTAACACAAATCATATATATAAATGATATATATCATATATAAATGATGACTATGCATGTATGTATGTATATGACTATATAGTCATAAATGCTCTACCAGGATTCTTTGGCTTATTGAAACCCAAAACATTAACATTTTTATCACACACACACACACACACACACATGCACACAAATGGATGATGCAAACCTGCTCCACGCAGTAGTTTCTAGAGACCACAGCAATGCACCATAGCGAGCAGGAGAGGTTACTTTTTACAGTGTCTGCCTTCAGAAACTCACATGCAAATAATATGTTCTAAGATAAAGAGCTAAGGAAGCTTGATGTGACTCAGACTTCAAATGGTTGAAGTCCTAATATGCCTACAGGAGAGCTCAAGGAATAATACATTTTAAAAAATAGATACTTCCTCCATTGGAAATCATCTTTTACTTTCCAATCCAGCAACTGGCATTTATTCTAAAACAGAGCAAAAAAAAAAAGTGGAGAACACTGCTCCCAGGTTATATATGTGAACTGCAGGCAAGCGTCCAGTCAACGTGGAAGAGGTTTTTAAACATTGATTTGGTTTTTGTTTTAATAGTCTATGTACTTATGCAAACTATTAAACTTGACTAGACCATAACCAACGGTGAGCGCTGACTGACCGCTGCTTTCAAAGCTGGTTGTGTTACTTTTAGGGATATGGGCAGTCACGTTAATGTCTGAAAAAGAAAAAGCCTGAATAGTTGTTCTGCGACTGGGCTCAGAGAACGGAGGGAACTGGGAGTTGGGGAGGAATAAGAGAACGCCCAGGGGAAGGGGGGGGCGGTCTGCGGTCCAGGAACCTCTGCTCCCAAGGGAGTAAAAACTGCCTCCATCACTTGATTTCCACTTCATGGCTCTGTGTAACTACTTAAATTCGAGTACACCTAAATTCATTTTGTTCAGGAGACATTGACTGAGTACCTAGTCAGTGCTAACGCTAGGAGGCTGCGATCCAAAGATTTTAGTCCACGTGGCGGAGGCTCAGTAACGCCAGGGGCGTTGCCTCGGCGCTCAGCCCCTCTCGGGGCGAGGTGACCACGCCACGCCAGGTCCTGGACACCCAACCCCATCCCCGGCCTGGAGCAGGGCCACGCCCACCACGGCTCCCAGGGCGACCGGATCCCTTGCCTTTTAGAGATCCGTAGCCACGTTCCTCGGAATTTGAATCTAATCCCGGCCAAGTTGAAAGGTAGGTGCAGGCTGATTAGAATACGTCCATCAAAAGGAGGGTGGGCCTAACTGGATGAATGCTAAGCAGGGATGATTTTAAAAGCCTTTGGGAGCCCACGTCCTTAGCAGTGACTTCGTCATTTTCCTTCGAAAAGGCAGCGGGCTAGGAAAGAGAATGGCTCCTGGTGGTATCGAGGGGTAAGTCTTGCCTGTGGAACTCGGCTTCGTTCAGCTACACGGGAAGGCGTGATTGAGTTCCCTGGTTAGGAGGTGTTTGTAACCGTGGGTCCCAGGTGAAAGGTTTGGAAAACCACGGATAAGAAGGGCTTATCGCACCAGAACCAGGTGGGGAGTGGCCTTGGCCAGCAAACTCCTAGTGTGTAGACTGCGTTGACCTAGGTGGTCTTGAGCCACCGCGCTCAAACTTTTAAAACAGATAAAGGAGGAAAATGAATACTCTTTCCAGAAAACAGATGCCTAGTTGAAATTTCCTGTAGGTTGCATTTTCTATTTTGTTTTAAAAAATCATATAAATGCGATGAATACGACATGCGGGTAGGTCTGTTCAATATCAAAATGTTTACGTGATTTGTTATAAAGAGAGGAGACCTCTCTTCTATTCTTCTCTTATCTCTGCAATGGTGCCACCATCCCCTCGATTACTCCGGCAGAGCAGCCTGGGGCCACTCGGTCTTGACTCCTTTCCCTTCCCCCCGGGGATTCAGTCCGCCGGCCAGGTCAGGAGGTTCTAGCTCCATTTCCTCTACCTCTCTGGCCCCCAACTCATTTCCTAGCTTGCTAAAGAGCCTAAGAAGTTTTACTTATTTATTTTGGGGTTTTGCCTATTTTTTTTTATTTTGAGACTATTTTACTTAAAGCTGGGACAGAGAAACAAGGAAGGCCTTAAGATAGAAAAATGCAATGGGAGGGAGCCTCAGCCCGGCTGCTGTTGGCTCACGAACAGTCAGAGGACAGGGGGCCCCGGAGACAGGTTCAGGAGGCTAGCCCGGTTGCAGGTCTCATGGGGACCCTGAGACCTTAGGAGAAGCAGGTCGGGGAGGGAAGGAAGGCTGGGCGTCTTCCCTGGAGGAAGAGTGGCCTAAGTGGTTTTTTTTTTTTTTTTTTTTGGCTTTCAGGCTTCCCTCCGGCAATCTCTTCCCAAAACAGCAGCCCTAATCTTCTCATCTTTAACCTAAACCAGAGTTTGTTTTGTTGCTGTTGCTGGTTGTTTGAAAGGAGTTCTGTAATTGGTTTGGAAAGCCATGCAAAGGGCTCCCTGGCCCCCGGGATTCCGAGCACTTCCACCTTCCCGCGGGGGAGCGGGTGCTTTGGACCCCGCCCCACGCGTCCCTAGGTGCCTCCCTCCAGGTGCGGCCTGGAAGGAACGTGGTTCTCCCTCTTCTTCCCATGGCTAACACTTCTCCTCTTTTTCAGGTCTCAGCTTTGAAACGCCCTCCAGTGGAGGCCTTTGAAGACTTCCTGAAGGTGTCATATTTTTTAAATATATATATTTTTTATTTTTAGAGAGAGGGCAAAGGAAGGAAAAAGGGAGGGAGAGAAACATGCTGTGCGATAGAAACCGTGATCGGTTGCCTCTCTTACACCCCCTACTGGAGACCTGGCCCAGGACCCAGGCATGTCCCAGACTGGGAATCAGACTCGTGACCTTTTTGTTCGCGGATAGGCTCAACCCACTGAGCCACACCAGCCAGGAACCCCTCATATTCTGATCGGTTTCATTTCATAGCATTTTTGTCAATCTGAAACAGTTTTGGTCTTGACCCATTGCAAACGGATTCTTCTTTACATTTATGTCTCACATGAATAAAGGCTCCACAAAAATCAGCGACTTTGTATGTTTCTCACGGGTCTGGGGTAGACACATAGAACAATGTTTGGTACTAAACGTGCCTAAGTGACTAGAGAGATAAATAATACACCCTTGTAAATACGTCTATCCCAGTTCGAGAAATATGAAATCAGGTTAATCTCATGCCATCAACAACTAGTTGTTTTTAATTGAATTTTCTAGGGGGATATTGGTTAATAAAATCATAGGTTTCAGAAGTAAAATTCTATAACACGTCATCTGTGTATTGCATTCTGTGTTCACCACCCCAAGTTGAGTCTCCTTCCGTCGCCATTTATCCCCCTGTTTCACCCTTTCATACCTCCTCCCACTGACCCCCCCTTTCCCTCTGGTAGTCACCGTACTTTTGCCTGTCTGTGAGGTGTTTTGTTTGTTTTGTTTTGTTTTTGCTAATACCTCCACCTTTTTCACTCAGTCCTCTATCCCCCTCCCCTCTAAATATCCAGGTTTTTTATCCTTTGTGCCATATTTACCTAGTACGTTTTCCTTGTAGTTATTTCCACTATCGGAGAATATACTTATCATATAAACAGGAGTTTTTCCATTATAAATTACCTTTTCCATCTTATACACCATCCTCACAAGCTCGCATGTTGTGGCCTGATATGATAAACAAGAATCTAGCTTAGAAAGGTAGGACTACCTGTGGACCCTGGTAAAGTCATCAAGAAAATAACCTGTCCTTCGACCATACTCTCATAGGTGATGTCCTTCTAGATAATACCTTAGCATCATTGATAGCCAACATTTGGAAACATCTACATTGTGTGTCTAAACTCCCAAGTAACTGTTGAATAAATTAACTTTATACGATTAGTATACCAGATATCACCAGTATGATGACTGATGCATATCCATCAATTCATTTCCTTAGACAAATGTACTAAGTGAGTGAGACCGAAGAGGACCTTGCTCTCACAGACTGACAGCCTGGTAGGTAAACAGACCTAAACTAATCAGTACCCGGGGACTTTAATCAGTGTAAAATAAGGGTCTAGGGGAACATTTAGCTGGGGGACCTAATTGGGCCTAAGAGTTAAGGGACGCTCGCCTGAGGAAGTGATGTTTAAGCAGAGCTCTGAAGTACGAATGGGAAGTAAGTACAGGGGTGTGTGTGTGTGTGTGTGTGTGTGTGTGTGTGTGTGTGTGTGAAAGAGGGATTGAGTGCTGGTATGGGAAGGGGGAGTAAGGATGGGTAGCACTTTTATTGAGAAGGAAGAACGTGGCACTTTATTGGGGATAGAGTTAATTATTACTGAAAGTGAAATAGAGCTGGAGATGGCAAGAGATAATGTGGAGAGAAAAACTGAAATCAAATCAAATTAGAGTTATTTTAAATAGACTAACTGGGGGAGGGGGATTTTGTGTTCTGTCCTTCTCAACTTACACCAATTTCTAGTGATTTTGCTCCAAAGGTACTATGTTCATTAATACAAAATGTTTTGAAAGTTATTTTTAATATCTATGGGAACAAAGTTTAGTTACATAAATATTCCCAGACATAGTCTCCCTGGTTTATTTCACCTTTCTAAATGACAAAATAAATAAGAACTCGTGTAAGATATATGTGTGTGTAGATATACACATTATACATTATATATAATGCATTATATATAACTAGCTTGAAAATATTTTTAAATAGCTGCATTTAAAAATACCACCTCAACGTCAGATGGGTACTAGACTCATTGGGATGATCACTTTGCAAGTTATATAAATGTCTAATCACTGCATTTTATACCTCTGACTAATATAATATTGTATGTCAGACATTATTGAAAAATTTTTAAAAAGAATACACATTCCACCTCAAAAGAATAGTGTCATTTGCTTTTGGTAAAAAAAAAAATACATAGAATAAAAATAAAGCATGCTTTTTAATTGCTAGAGAAACACTTCAAATTTCTTCTTAAATATTTGTATATCTATTATGTTTAAGAAGAAATTTTAAATGCTTCCCTTAGCAATTTGTACACATAAAACACTTATACATTATATATAAGTATATAATTTATTTATAAAACATTTCTATATTATACTTTTCCTATGATATATGTGCATGTAGAAATATTTATGAAGATACTTAAAACTCTCCCCTTAGCATTTGGAAAAAAATGCTTTGTTTTTATTCTATGTTTTTGTTTGTTTTTTTTTCCCCAAAAGTAAATGGCATAATCTTTTCAGGTGGTTTTTTTTTCTTAATTTGTTAATTTCAGAAAGACAGAGAAAAACATTTATTTGTTGTTCCAATTCTGTATGCATTCATTAGTTGCTTCCTGTATGTGCCCTGTCCTGAGATCAGCCCCAAAACCTTGGCAGATGCAGACAAAGCTCTGACCAACTGAGCTACCTGACCAGGGCCTCCGGTGGTAGTTTAATTTTAATTTTACTTTCATTTGTTAATCCATTGTTTATGGATAATGAACATATCTAGAATCTTCCACTGGACTTTGAGATGGTATGTAAAATATAGCTACTTAATTTATCTCATTACTTTCATATATTCCCCCTTTTTAAAAAGCATTTAACTTTTGTTCCTACAGCAGGGTGTTAGGATAATAAAATTAAAACATTTTATAAGGCACACAATTGTAACATTAAGCAAAAAGTGGTAACTTTTATAATGTTGCTTTTACATTTTTAAGGAAGTAGCAGAAAACTATTCAAAGTGCTCTGTGCCTTTAATTTGACGTGCACACATAAGAGAGGGAAATACATGTGCTTTATGTCTTCCTCACCTGACCCCCATCTTCTGGAACAGAGGTAGGTAAGCTACAGCCCAGGGCCAAATCCATCCCCTGCCTGTGGATTCATTGGAACACAGTCTCACTCATCATCCTTCGTGTATTATCTACGGCTGCTTCTGCACCACCTTCTGCACGGAGGTGAATAGTTGTGCCACACATCCTAGGGCCCACAGAGCTTAAATCTGACTCTTCACAGAAAGAAATTTGCCACACCCTGGGTCTAGAAGAGTGCATGGCATGTGGCAGGATCCCACTCATACTTGCAGAATGAAGACAAAGCTAATAAAACAACACTGTCTCACATAAACATTCAGCATTTGCTCCGTGCCATGAACTGTGCCAAACACTTGATAGGTATCATTTAGTGTGAATTTCACAAAAGTGTTACCTAAGAAAATAGGCATATCTTGCTCCCTTACCTCTATCAAGTTTTCAGTCAACTGCCACTTCCTTGAACACCTATTCAAAATTGCAGACTCCTACTTTTCTACCAGCTCCTTTGCTTATGCTATAGCACTTTACCGTATAACAGATGACATAGATACTTATTTTGTATGCCTGTGAGAATGTATACTCCATGAGTATGTTTGTGTGTTCACTTACTGACATGGCTCAACCCGTGAGCAGCCTAGAGCAGAGCTAGAATATAATGAATGCCCACTAAACAGTAAATGTTGGGTGATTGATGTGGGGGTGCCCAGGTAGGATCTGCCTATGACCCCATGCCTTATATCAGAGCTCATTCTCGTACTCTCTCGTGGAGTTTGTCAAAGAACATGTACATGGCGTGGTCCAGTAGCTCAGTTGGTTAGAATGCTGTCCCTGTTTGTCAAGGTTGTGGGTTGTCTCTGTCCAGGGCACACAAAAGAAGAAACCAATGAATGCATCTGACAATGGCTCTAATGTTGGGATATATTCTACCTCAGGGTTACTATCTCAAAGCAGGTGCCTGCTGAAGATTCACCCAGATCACTGCTACCTGGAAGTGGCTGTCACATCCTGGTGCAGACCTTCAGGGAGGAAGCGGCAGGACGACATGGAGCATCAGCTGAACACACAGGCAAAGGCAAGTGGACTAAGCGGCTCGGGTGAAATAGACCTCACTGGGGAGGAGCTGACACCAGCCCTCCAGGAACCTCCCAATGCCGTGCAGGCCTGTTGGGATGAAGATGGGGACCCCGAGACTAGCTCTCAGGCTGCTGAAGAGGAACCCACCTCTGACTGTTATATAGAGTGGGTTTTAAGAGGTGAGTTTACTGAACGTGTCAAGGAAGACGACATAATTCTTACGTCCTTCAAGTACCGGAAAAATGGATCAGAGCAAGCACTTTCTCAGCAGGTTCCTACAACAAGCTCACTTGCTGAAGATTCCTTGCCGTGCACGACACAAGGGGCAAAACAAGAATTTTCTCAACAGGTTGTTGGAGAGAAATCATCTGTTGAATATTCTGAGCCCGCGGCAGACAAGAAGCGTCCTCGTGGAGAAATCCCCAACGCGAGCAACATGTGGGAAACTAACGAAGATCTTCAACAGCTTATGGGATTTGCTCGAAATAAGCCAAGAGATAATGAAGAAAACCACACTCCAGAAAAAATCGTTTGTCCTCATCGTGAATGTGCAAAGCCGCTGAAGAACAGAGATTCCCTGAGAAAGCATGTCCTCCTGGTCCATGGTCCCCGCAATCATGTGTGTGCAGAGTGTGGGAAAGCTTTTGCTGAGAAGTCAAAACTAAAGAGACATTTTATGGTTCACACCGGAGAGAGGCCTTTCCAGTGCACTTTTAAAGGGTGCGGGAAACGCTTTTCCCTGGCCTACAATTTGCGCACACATGTGCGCGTCCACACTGGGGAGAAGAGCTATGTGTGTACCTTTCAAGGCTGTCCTAAGAGGTTTAGTCAGTCAACTAACCTGAAAAATCACCTCTTAACTCACACCAAATCAAAGATAAGCGATGAGGGAGCAGATGGAAAATAATCTTTAAACGGGATAAGCATTTTAACCAATGATTGATTAGGGAAAAGTATGCCTCGTTGATTATTGTTTTCAGGATTTTTTTGAATCAATGTTGCAACTCTATAAGGCATATTTTTTTAGCATAAGATTTTCCTATAGTTTGTGATACCATTTTAAGAGCATTGTTAAAAAAAAAAAACATTGTGTGCAGAATAATAGTGTGCTTCCAATGAACTTTCTTCAAAAGCATAATTCTTAATATATTGTGAATTAGATTATTGGGTAAGGGGCTTATTTCACATATTGTAAAAATGCAATTAACTGATTTTCAAGTTTGTCACTTCTAATTGTTTCACTTTTGCCTTTTAGGAATAGACTTCATGCTGCATGTGATAATCGTAGAGAATGAAAATTTCATAATAGATTGTCGATAAGTGAATGAGTAGTTAAACTTCAGTAAAAGTTAAATATAATTTGTAATCATTTTTTAATCATTTTCTTTTTTTAAATCATATGTCATACTATTGAAATAATATACTTGGATCTGAGTGGTTATTTGAGAGTGTCAATGTATTGGAATCATTTCAGATCTTTTCAAATAAAAGGAAGTAAAACCCCCAAATTGTCTATGCCTGGTTTGAAAAATGAGAGTGTGCACTAAAGAGAAATACCATTTATTTGTCTTTGAAAGTGGCAAAGATCAATGGTCTGGTGTTGGTGAGGTGGGAGACAGGAGTTACCCAGCTACCTGGCTGCTTAAGGTATACCCTGTCACAGGCATTTTGGAGGGTATCGTCTCAGTTCTGGAGGCTAGAAGTCCCAAACCAAGGTGCTGGTGGGATTGGTTCCTTCTGAGGGTTCTGAAGGATCTGTCCCTGGCTTCTCTTCTGGGTGTGTAGGTGACTGCACTCGTGTTCGCACGGTTCTCCTTGTGTCTTCACACCATCCTCTGCGCTGCACCTGCCCACACTCAGGTTTGCTTTTGCAAGGGTGCCAGTCATTGGGTTAGAGCTCGCCCCAATGACCCTATTTAACGTGGTCACCTCAGTAGAGACCCCAGGTCCAAGTAAGGTCATATATTTGGAGGTACTGAGAGTTAGGGATTCATCAGGAATTCTGGGGGGCGCACAGTTCAACCCTTAACTTGCATTCCTGCAGACCCACTCATTTCCGTTTTAGAATTTAATTCTATAGAAATAGTTGCACTTGTGTACAAAGATACTTGTTGAAGGATGTTAACCGAAACTTATTTTTAATAGTAATAAATTCATAATGTAAATGTCCGCTAAAAGGGAACAAATTGCCTAAATCCCGGTACCTCTGTTTAATAGAAAATGTGCAAATATCCTTAAAGGAAGCTTGGCTGTAAGGGAGGAAAAGAGCAGCACAGTGAGAGGAAAGTTGCTTTTGATGGATGAATTAGAATCCAGTGTATTTATACCCTGTGGGAGGAAATTTAGAGAAGGTGGTTAACTAATCTGAATAAAGGGGGAAAGCTGACCATCCAGAAATAGCTGATAAAAAAAAAACAACCTAAAGCTCTAATATAGGGATTGCCTTATTTTTGTGATTATAAATTGAATCCCTAATTAGAATCACCTTATAATTGTTTATTTTTATTAGTGAAAATTATCTTAAATCTCACTACCTTTTTTTTTTTTGGTCATTCCTATCGTCCTCTAAGAGAGGCAGGGGACTGAGGGTCTGCTCGCCTTGGCAAATGCAGAACCAACCAACCTGCACTGGGAAGCATATGCACCAAGAGGGATGAGAGTCTCCAAGATGTGCCAAACCACTGACATTCTCACATTAGTTTCTTTTGTCTTATTCTGCAATAGGTGCACAGGCCTCCCAAACAGTCCTATCTGGTTTTTGCATTTTTACCCTACAACATACATTGGCATAACATATATCGGTAAATATAGGATTTCTATCCTATTTTAGCCCAAAGGAATTCTATCTGAAGCACATTCATCATATATTACTTTCCTACCGAATATGCATGTGTGGAAATTCATGTGTGCTTGTTTTAATTACCGAATGCACTAGCTCTGACTGAATAAATTGCATGATTACATCCTACATTGGACACAGAACAGTGCAAGTTACATTAAAAAGCCATTATATTTGCAACTCTGAGCAAAAGACTATAATTAAAAGGCAATTGGATGAAATTAGCTTTGAGAGTACAAGAGTTTAAGTAGAATTTGGTAAATGAACATTAATGGTTAACATGTGGTTTTTATTAGGTATTCTGCTGCTTCTCTCTGACCTTGGGGTTGAATTTCTTAGATGTCAGCAGACCAGACATACGAAAACACCTGTACAAAGCCAACCTTTACCATGTGGTTAAAGTTGTATCTATAAAAAAAAAGCCAACATAACTTTTGTGACTTTAGTAAATCAAAAGTATTAAGTAAGCAGGAATGATTCCCTGGGCATTAATAAACTATTTTTTAATACTCCTAAGATCTCGGTGTGTGTCATAAAAAGCATAGTACATGCTTCCTGCAATTCAAAATGTTGGTGATAAAATACACATGTATACATCGAAGAATAATAAAACTAGAGAATTTCAATTATTGTGGCCATTACATACAAAACATTAAAGTTACACACAGTATATTTAATATCACCTAATCCTTATCTAAGGCAACCAGTGCATTTGTACATTGCTGAGGACTGGGCATACTACTACTTGCATGTGTGGCTTGGGTAGGTAGAAATCTTTTTTTACCAAGTATATATCCCTAATAGGTGTTACACTTAGGAGGATTAAAGATGGCTGCAAATTCTTTGCTCCCCTGCCCATTGAGATTTGGGGTCTGGTTCCCTTCACTGTCAGTCTCTGCTGGTCTGTGAATGCTTTGATCAGGAGGGGATGGTGTAAACGATGCTGCAATAGCTCAGCCTATTCCACACCAAGCTTTTGAGATTCCTGGCAGCTACTGCCTTGCTCTCTTAGAAACCAGCTGCCTTTTAAGAACTATGACAACCCTAAGGCCACCATCCTAGGCAAAACCCAAGCTACATGCTGAGACCCTGGGGGATAAGAGGCAAAGAGATCAAGACCAAACAGTAGTGAGGTGCCAGGCATGAGTGACAGTGCCATCTTGGAATAGTCACCAGCCCCAGTCACCCAGGTGATGACAGATGAATCACAGAGCCTGGGTGGTCCCTTTCCAAATTTCTGACCCACAAAACGATGAACAAAATAATTGTTTTTTAAATAGGGACTATAGCTGATAATACTCTATTGAAACATTGAAATTTGCTAAGAGAGAACTCAAATGTTTTATATATATAGATATACTGGTAGATAATTAGAAGAGAGGAATCTTAAAATGTGTATGTATATGAAATCACCATATACATTTAATATCTCACACTTTTTTCAATTGCACCTCAATAAAGTCAAAAACATAAAATGGTTATTTTAAGCCACTTAAATTTGGGGTCAGCCGTTATGTTGCAATGGATAACAAGCCCCCAATTCACACTTGTTATTTGAATTTTAGTCTTTGCTTTACATTTGTGTAAGCTTTGTGTACACATACATACATATACATACATACAGATTTTACATAACTAGTTTATGCCTACATTCAAAAGGAATTGTTGACTGTAGTTTGCAATTTATATACTAGAGATCTAATGTTTTCCGTAAGAGTCACAGCAGTGAGGGAGTGGGTTTCCTCTTCCTAGACCAGCAGAGACTGATCTATTTGTGGACTGAGAAAAACTGCAGCTCCCTTTAATAAAACTAAAACTCAGTCTCCGTAAAGATTGGTGGAGGAAGAATCTCCACCTGGGAGGAACAATTTCTCTTCTCCAAACGGGTGCTGTCACCCTGAGCCAGGTCACCTCCCTGGAAGGAATGCCATTAATTACTGCTGCTGCCACCACTGTCCTTAAAGGGTCACACTCCACTTTAACATTGACCCACGCACGAGCACATAGCTCTTTCTTTATTACTTCGCAGTAAAAATGAGATGAGGCTGGAACGCTTAAAGATCCTATTAAAGGCAGGAGGACAACATGCTACACCTTGTTTTCTCAGGTCACAGGTTTAAGAGATCACTATTTCAGGACCCAGAGCTAAGAGAAAAAGCTCCAGTGATTTCTTTGGTTTTTACCTAAGATCTGGTCTAGATTTCTAGCTGAGGATCCACTTACTTCCTGAGCAGCTAGCCTCGGTGTGTCTAGATGGGGTATTTAACTAGGAAGCCATTAAAATGTATCTCACACGTGGGTGTGGATGGACACTAGAGAGACAGCCTCGCAGAGATGGGTGAGGAACAAATTTTGAAGGCCTGATAGATCATTTTAAAAAGTTAGAATGTTGTAGTCAATAATGCAAGCATCGAAGGGATTAAGGAAGTAACATGATCGAATTCACTTTTTAGAAAAATCATTTGGGAATCAGAGTAAAAAGTGGATTGGGGAGTAGGAAAGCAAAGAGCTGTTGAGAAGACATGTCTGATTAAAACAAAGCCCACATGTGCGAATATATCTGAAGCAACCCAAAACACTGATTTGAAAGAATATACACACCTCTATGACCACTGCAGTTTTATTTACAATAGCCAGGATTTGGAAGAAGCCCAAGGGCCAATCAGTAGATGAGTGGATAAAAAAAGCTGTGGTGTATTTACACAGTGGAATACTATGCGGCCATAAAAAAGAAAGAAATCTTACCCCTTGCAACTATGCGGATGGACCTGGAGAGTATAAGCCAGTTAGAGAAAGACAAACACCGTATGATTTCACTTCTTTGTGGAATCTAGTGAACCAAATAATCTAACAAACAAAATACAAACAGACCCACAGATACAGAGAACAGACTGACAGCTGTTAGGGGGGAGGGGGTCGGAGGGAAGAGGGTGAGTGAAAAGGTGAAGGGATGCAAGTGGTAGAAGAAAGACCATGTGAGAACTTCGTGAGAAGACTGCAAGCTGTCTGCAAGAAGAGAAAGGCCTGGGTACAAACCAAACCTGCTAGCACACAGATCTTGTACTTCT